TTCTTCAGATCACTTATACTCGTCTCCAACCCGTGTCTCGCGTCCGACACTGTCTTCCGCAACGACAACACATTGGCCTCAAGAAGTCTTATTCGACATTCCTATGGCATAACACATCCCATTATATGACAGACAATACATAAAACATCTTAAGACATGTCATACCAGTTCCTCTTTGGTGACCAAAGCGTTCAAATCGCTGTCCATTTTATCGCTGAGTATCTGCTGTTCGTCTTTGAGTCGAAAGTATTTGAGCTTTTTTTCAGCAAATCTTTCGGGAATTCGTGTCCTCTTCTTAGAGTCAGTGAACTCTCCGTTTCGGACGCAATCACTGCAGAAGAATATACTTTTATGACATCTGCAGACTCGACACTCCAGCAGATATTTGTCACCATTTTTGGCGATATTCACGCTTTGAGAGTCGTTATCAACCGATCGCTCATTGCATGGGATGTCTGAGAAGTGATCATCAATTAAAGCACTGCTTATTGTGAACTCTTGCGGAGCTGTCGAGGAATCGTTTGTGTCATCCATTGTGTCATTCATTGTCTCATAAAGTGTTCGACAATTCAATCATTCAATCGATTTGTTTTGCGTTTTTGTTTACATTGTCTGTTGTGAGCCATCCGTACAGTCCGTACACTATTGGGTGAGTGGAGGAGTGGGAGGACTGTTCACAACACTCACTGTCACTAAGGCTTCACTCACACTTTGCATCACATATTGATTATTGCATAACAAATGTCTCATTAAATTGAATACAAATGAAAACAAATGAATTTAATAGTGAATCAAACGTCTGGTTAGAAATGGGCGACAAATACGTGACACATATTTTGTGAGCCAATCATTGTATGCATACATCAAATACGGCTCGCATTGGCTTTCAATCGTTGTTTACATTGAATTGTATTTAACGTTAATTACAGTTAATATGACTTAAATTGTGTTGTTTTTGGCGACCAATGGCTGTAATGGCAATGAAAGGGTTGAATGGTTTAGTGGTGTATAATGTCTGTCAAATACTGTGTATAATATGTGAGTTATATATGTTTAGTATCACTCAATTGAATCCATCCAACAATTTACCGACGGTTATAGCCATCAGTATTGGCTCACAATTCATACCACTTTTCATCACTCATTCATTCATTGCTAACAATAATCAGGTTTTCATACAATTTAGTCCTAAATCTGACTATATTTCCACTCATTGTAACCGTATTTGTCTATTGCCGTAGAGTTTGCGTGACTTTAACATCATATCCACAATCGTATCCATACTGAAGAGTATTGGTGTCTATTATGTATTGGTTGTCCTATTGGGTGCTCCCATACTATCGTACGTACCGTCGATGGCGTCTCTCGTCTTTAATCTAATGGTTAATTGTGTTTAAATATAGGCAAAAGTTAAATACACTGTATTTGTCTGTTTTGTTGACTTCGTTGACAACGATTCCGATTCTAGTCTATTGTAAACACAATAATATCCAGAATTTGATGAATAACTTGAATTACTTGAGAATTGAGGCCAAAGCGGAGAATGTGATTGTGAAGACATCGGTGTTGACAGTGATGGGCAGTTGGTTCGGGGCATTCCCTCTGGCCCTCGATTGGATGCAGCCGTGGCAGGAATGGCCCGTCAGTCCACACATCTCGCAATTTTATAGCTTATGATTAACTAATGTTTTGTTTCAATGTTTAACATTAGGTGAGCGTATGTTTGGGCGCAATGTTCACAAATCTGACCGCAAATATCCTCTCGTTTTGTTTCATTTGTTATAAAATGAGTGAAAAACTTAAATGAATTTAATATAACTTCTAAATCGATTACTTTAGTATTGAATAAAATTAATATTTTTTGTATTTAGAATAATATAAAGAAAAATTGTTTTTAATTTAAATGAAGATTTTATTTATATTTTATGACTTTTTATATACAATTATAGTTTACTTTACATTCTTTGATTTTATATTAATTTGTTTTGAATAATAAGCTTACAATACATTGATTTTTAATGATTTCTATTCATTTAAAGTTTTTTCTATTGACTAATAATTTAATTATATATTTTTGGTATAGAATATGAATTAATAATTTGAATGTTATTTACGAAACGAAAATGAGATCAAATTAATTATGAATTCATATAAAGTACAGAAATGACAAGAATTACATGTATTAGTATAAGTGCTAATAAAGTGACACTAGAGATGAATTCAAAATTTAAATCACAACAAAATACTGAATTACTTGTAAATAAAGTCAATGTTAGGAACATTTTTGACAGCAATTTAAATAACTGTCTGTTATTTGAAATACATTTGATTTCGATTGAGTTCATTGTCATCGAAATTATTGGAAATAATTGCCGAAACACTTGTGAGTGGAGTCACTGTTAGGCCTGGTATTGAAGCATCGGTGCCGTCAGGTTATGGCTGTGCGGCGTTGTGTTCATTCGCAGAGC